CCTACTCTGAGTATTTTAAAGACTAGTTATTTAACTCCCTAGAAATTCTGTCACAAGAGGAAGATTAAAGGTTCCACACACACTATTGGATATCCACTATGAGGATATCCAATAGGGTTTTCTTGGAACTTTTTCTCCAGCTTCTGAAGTCAAACATCTAAATAGGAAAGTAGTAATGATGGACAGAAATTACCACCGTTTGGAGGTAAAACAGAGACTTGCTGAAAATCCTTGCCAAACCATTTGGAATTTGCCAACACTAAGTGCTGCCTAGGAGAAAATAAAACCCCATGCATTTTAACTGGACATTCTTCACCTTCAGCCTATTACTTCAAGCAAACAGATAGCCTTCCTACCAATGTAAGTATGGAGCAATATGGACACTTGCCCTTCTGCAATCCTGCTGCTGTCAGCTCCTGTCAGAGGGACAGCCTGAAGCCATGGAAGAACCATGCAGACGGTCACAAACCAGGCCCCGGGCCCACTACTGACACAGCTCTTCCAGAAACACCACTGTGAAAAGCTAACACTGGGATGAGGCTCAGACTGCCTCCTCCATGACCCTCTCTAGGCAGGCTGGAGCAGTCTAGAGATGACAGTCCCTCCAATATCCATCCTTCTTCTGGGTACTTCTCCCTCTTCTCCACATGCCACCACCTATGGCTGATTTAAGCACTTGTTGCAACCTTTCTCAAATACAGGTTGCGCGTTCTCTGAGGCAATGCCATGCCACATTTGTCCATCTTCTGAAAAATCCGCAGCACAGAGATCCTTGACTTGGGATACCAGCTGCTAGGGGCTACAAATAATCTGTAATTAAAATAAAAGTGAAGCTGTACCACAGGATTGTTGTGCCTCCAAGTTTTCTCCAGACTACTCTCAGGAGACATAGAAGAGATATCAGAGATAAAAAAACAAATCTCAGCCCACTAGGTTTACACAGAGACCCACAAAAATATGTGTCTGTATTGTTCTGACCTCCAAATCTTTTTTTTTTCCTTCACATTTTCTTAACCTTTAAAAGGCACATAAGATAAACAGAGGAGAAGCTAGGCAGACAACATCCTCGGAAGAGATGTAGGAATATAATCAAGCCCTCAGACACACACACACAAACACCATAATTTATCTCTTCCTCCTCCTGTTTGATATTATCCTCTGTTCTAGTATCATAATCTGTTACTATGGGAACAGCTATGATGTCACTACAAGAGGTTTATGGATGCCTTGAACAGGAAGGAAAGGTACATGATGATGGGAGAGAAAAAAACCCGCACCTACAAACAGCTGCTAAGCAGGAGACGTTCCAGGAACAGCAAGTGTTAACAGGGAAAAGATAAATACATCAACAGTGCTGGAGTCGCTGCAGACAAAAGCAGAATATAAACCCTGTTTTAAAAATAAAGAATGCTTACAAATTTTGCCTAAAAGTAAAAATATTCTGGGAAAGCTAAAGGACCTTCCTGAAAAAAACTAACTTTCTTTGAAATGTTCTGCAAGTTTTCTGAGACTGGATGTTCTCTGAGTCTTGCTGCTAGAGTACAAGTCTCCATCAAACCACTCCATCATCTGGTGTAACATTCCCTGCAGAAGTGTAACACCCCACCAATGCAGCTGTTAGGCAGGGAGCTTGCTGGCTATCTACCATCTTGTATGCCTTTACGATCTGTAACTAGGAAGAAACCTCATGTCTTCAAGTAAAAATAAATAGAACCATAGAATCATTTAGGTTGAAAATGACCTCTAAGATCAACGAGTCCAACCATTAACCAAACACTACCAAGAGCACAACTAACCATGCCCCGAAGCACGACGTCTTTTAAACATGTCCATGGTGACTCCACCACCTCCCTAGGCACCCTGTTTCAGTGCTTGACAATACCTTCCACTAGGAAATTTTTCATAATATCCAATCTAGACCTTTCCTGATGCAACCTGAGGCCATTTCCTTTTGTCCTATTGCTTGTTACCTGTGAAAAGAGGTCAACCTCAACCTCACTACAACCTCCTTTCAGGTAGTTGTAGAGAGTGATGAGGTCTCCTCTGAGCCTCCTATTCTCCAAGCTAAACAATCTCAGCTCCCTCAGCTGCTCTTCATAAGACCCGTGCATTACATCCTTCAGCAGCTCCATCACCCTTCTTTGGACACGCACTGGCATCTCTGTCTTTCTTGTAGTGCTCTTATGCCTTTAAGATTTGTTTCTTGGAGAATGTCCACCATTCCTGGACTCTTTTGCCCCTCAGGACCGTGTCCCAATAGACTCTGTCAACCAGCCTCCTAAACAGGCCAGTGTCTACCCTACGGAAGTCCAAGGCAGCCATTCTGCTGAGCCCCCTCCTTACTCCTCCGAAAACTGAAAACCAATCACTGTACCCAAAACAGCCTCCGACCACCACATCACCCACAAGTCCTCCTCTGTTCACATAAAACAGGTCCAGCAGGGCGCCTTCCTTTGCTGGCTCACTCACCAACTGTGTCAGGAAGTTATCTTCCACACATTCCAGGAACCTCCTAGACTGTTTCCTCTCTGCTGTTTCCTCTCTGTGCAGAGACACACTGAATCTACTGGATCACATCCAGTAGCAAATAAACACCCTGACCCCAAACTACAAGAAAAAAGGAGCTTTTCTTGCTCTCTTCACCCAAGAGAAAAACCAAAATCTTACAGACTCACTGCCAAACATACTGACATACCCAACCTGCTACTAGAGAGAATAGTATGTTGAGCCTCATGCTTGAAACATGTCCAGCCTTTGGGCCATGCACATCCGTGTGCAGGATGATGCACATGTGGTTCTCACCCATAAGCACAGGTGTTGATGACTGTGCCTCCATGCTCGTACCTGTTTTGGTCACCTGGACTGATGGTGAGAGTAGAGCAGACATGACAATGGAGAGGGTGGGGCAGTCACACGTGCCTTTAAAGGCATCATGTGCAGGCTAAGGGAAAATTCAGTATGCACCTCCTGATGGGGAGGAGGAGGGAGGATGGCAGATCAAATTCATCCTGCACGGACACCACCGTCACGGGAAGGGCAATGGCAGCGAGGGAGGAAACCACAAGGATCTCAGATCAATGGAAAGTGTTGGTGTTTCAGATAACCTCTGTCCCATCAGAATTTCTTGAGTGTGGTGAGCAGGATCAGAGATCTTAAGGGAATGCCACAGAATCAGTTTTGCCTCTAGTCTCAGCTCCAGACGGGGGGAATCCCCAGGCAGACACTCTGTTTTGCCTGTATTAAGATATAGGTGGCATTTCCTGTCCTTGCTCACTTTCCTGTCCAAAGACGTTAGAAACAACTGCAGAGAAAAAACCTGGGAGAGACTGAAATCAGTAAGGGTAGTTGCAAAAACAGTCCAAGATGGGATCTTCAGCATTTCACTCAATTTTCTGTTCTTGCCGGATTTGTCTCTGACAGCCCCAGCCCCCGTACTTCTCAGGGATCACTTCTCTCTCCTGTTACAGTCACTTACTCTCACCTTTCTTTCCCACCTCTCTCTCTCATCCTCTTCTCTCTTGTTCCTAACCTACTGCCTTACTCCACCTCAATCTTCAGCCCACCCTTCCCTTCCCTGAAGGAACCCCTGTCAGAAATGTTCAGGAAAACCCACATATTGTGATTTCCTCTCCCCAAAGAGCCCAGCCAATTCCTACAATCCATGCTCCCATGTCTTCACTGCAGGAAATGCAAATCCTTTGAGGTGGGAACTATCTACCCCTTCATGTCAATACCATGCCTTGTGCAGTAAGGTCCTGTTTTTGTTTGGCACTAGCACCACTACAGCAAATACAACTGTTATTAGGAATACTTCAAAAGCACCAGAGTAAAAGAATAGGAGGTGTAAAACAATGCAAAGTGTTTTGTGTGTTTTCCAGTTTCTTTTATAATTTGTGGGCAAGGTTCTGTTTCTATTTTTTATGAAACAATCTCTTCTGTGTTTTCTATTTGAGACAAGAGTGGAAAACAAAGCTGATCTTGGTGAAGAAACAGAGATTGTGCTTTTTAAATTGGCAGGTGACAGCAAGCAGGATTGCAAAATAAGAATTCAAAACAATCCTGACAAATTGAAGGGTACAGGATGAAACTCAAATGGGGCAGATACGAAAATCATACACTTAGGTACGAAAGCCTAGCTCCACACACACAGAACAGAAAATGGCTCATGAGGCATCAGACCTCTTGGACAGGATCTTGTAGCCACGGCACATCACAAGCTGCACACAGATGAACAATGTCATGGTGCAAAAGTTAAACCAAACAGGAGCACTGCCTGTAGGAGATGGAAGGAATGCTTCTGCTCTACTTGGTCAGCACAGGATCCAACACACAGCACTGTGCTCTGGTAAAGCCACTGAAAGGAGAGGTGGACTAGCTGAAGGGAGCACAGAGAAATGGGAGGATGGTCAGAGCTGAAGGGAACAGGACACAGGAGAAAGAGCTGAAGAATGTGTTTGAGATATGATTCAGCCAAAGGAACACAAAGTCAAGGACAGACATGACAAAGACAAAGGAATAGTTTTCCCACACCCACTGTTAAAAGGACAAGGAATCAGAGCAAGCAAAGCAGAGCAGTTAATGAGGAGGTAAAATCTTTTCAGTGACAAAGTAAAGGGCAGTGATGACAGCCCGGGCAGGCTATGCACCCCATACATGGGAAATATATTGGACAAGCCTGTTAGGGAACATGCTGGATGGGCATTTAATATCCTGCTTTGAAACACTTTTTGAAATCTTTCCTATGCCCACTTCCTAAAATTTCAATGATATTGGTGAGAGGTAAGTTTCTCTGGCATTTCAGCATAACCCACAGACCAAGATAAACCTGTCAGTCTTTAGAACAGAAAGAGATGTCAGCCTGCAGGGTACTGCTGTGTAACACCATTGTTCCAGTTCTTGCTAATACCTTTAAGGATTAAAAGTCATAATGAACGGGGAAGACAGCTGCCTTCAGAGTTTCCCAAGTATCTTTGGTAAATACCACTGCCTTGAGGACTGACCTTTCCCACTTTTCAGGGTAGGAGCTGTCTGTGACTGCTCTTACTTCATCCTTCCAGAGACAGATGTCAGCACAGGCCCTGGAAGGTGAGCAGGACAGAGAACATGTAAATAGAGTGAGCTTCAGCTTCTCCAACCAAACGCCCCATTGAGGGGTAATGCTGAAGAAAACTAAGGGAGCAAACTATGCCATCCTTCACCCAGCATAAAACTCCCTCCCTCCAGAACACAGACAGGCTAATGCTGGCCATGGGGAGACGGTGCTTCTCCTTGTGTAGCTCTGCAGGTTTCAGTGACTGTGGCTGTTGCTGACCTATATCAGAATCGAGCCCAGGAGCAGCAAAAAGGGTTCACATCTTGAGATTGCTTGCCTCCCACTGGCTATTCTGTACACATCCTGTAAATAAGCAGAAGACTGTTCCTTGGCATCATTCTGTCAGCAGCTTGATCAGACAGCCACTCTTTATATAGCACCTTGAACATACACAACGTTGTATAAACATGCACTATTACAGCTTATTGTTACTTCCATTCAATAAATAAATCCTAATGTTACAGCTTTTTAATTGTTTTAGTCCTGAATCTGGACTCTGGCAGGTATTTTGAAATATGGCGATGCCTTTGCCAGCCTATGGAGACAGAGGCTGCCCCTTCACTCACGTACGTGGGCAGGTCTTAGAAGAATTGTTTTTACTATCAAAATTATCCAACTCAGAAGGCTACCTGAATTCAGGAGTGGTCCCAAAATACATACACTTGTGCTTTCCTGAGGATGGACCTCAGTTGCTGATATGGCCAAGTGAGGGAGGATTCAGGTGTGCTCTGTGCTGTTAATAGGGGGGAAGCATTAACATGCCTCTACTCTTCCCGCACGACAAACAGAAAAGTTGCTAAATGTCCTATCAGAACTGAAATTATCACCTGGGTTTATTTTTAAAACAAAAGCTGAACTCTGTACTGCAAGGGGGAATAGTTTTAAAAGAGAAGGCCTCCCGTTAAACACCTAGGTCTGTATTAGAGTATGTAAACAGCTGAAGAAACAACCTTTTCTCTAAATCGCGTTTAATTCTCACTTCTTGTTATCCACCAGTTATCCTTCTAAAAGCAAGAAAAAGCCCTCTCACATTTAGAGGGCAGAGATTTCCTAGTAAGGGTGAGGAAACAACCTCATTTTTATAAATGGACTGATTAAGCTATAGAGGCCATGAGTCAGAAAGGTACTTCAGCGTGTGGCCAGCTTTAAAGACATAAACAATCCTAATGAAGTCACCAGCACTGAATGTGAGCTTAAATTTAGGCACAGACCTTAAAATATCTTCTTAAGGTGGGATCAGAGAGGAAAAGGGTGGAACTTTAAAAAAAAAAACAAAAACAAAACAGTCTCAGCCTACCTATACACTACAGACACAGGGATGGGGACACCATAATAGCTCTTAGCCCACCACTGAATGCCTTTGTAAACTTTCCTCATAAAGTCCAAACGTAGCACTATCACAGTTGCCTCGATTCCTACAGCTGAAAGAACTTGTCTAATCTGCCTCATACTGGTGTCTCAGCCTGGTCCAAGTAGAAGGTGACTGCACTTCCTCTTGACCTCGCCATCTGGCAGCACTGCTCTAACACCATCACCTGGGACCCACTTGCTGAGGTCCACAATCAGGACAGCGATTTACCTCCAAGCCCAAGTCACTAATCCTTCCATGATTTGACTTTCCAGTTTTCTTCCTGACCAAATATCCACATACTTTTACACACCATTGCTGTAATGTGGTCAAAACTGAGCCTTATTCATTTAGCCATCCAAGTACACTATCCACCTACGAATACGCAGTCTAACTTCTCAAGGCTGACCTAAGTTCAAAAGCCTCACAAGCATCAGGGAGGTCTCCGGGCTGTCCCTCATCAGTTGAAGACCTACACTGAACAGGGTGCACAGCCAACTCTTACCCAGTCTGGGTGAAACCGCATCCAGTGGTTTCAAAGCACCATGTGAAACTGGGCAGTAAATAACAACCACTGAGTAAATGGCGAAACTGAGCGATGGGAAAACAAAAATTACTTCATTTTCTAGGCCTGCTGATGTGTCCAGCTGAAGCCACCTGGGTTTTCCCCACCTGTTACAGCCATAAAGAGGAACACAATGCACAAAGTCCAAGGGCCGATGACTGTGGCGAGTAACTGTGTTTGCCTCTTTGTCTGCTCACCCTGGGCCCTGGGCCCAGCAGTGCTCTTTCCCCTTCTGAAAATAAAACAGCATTTTTCACCCATTACATCTCAAACTCACTTAATCGCTAGACACAGCAGCACGATAAGAACAATAATTTTAACTGGAGGGGACTTCCTGTTATCCTAGCTATAGCCATATCCTGAGCAAATAAAAACTTAGGCTTTTGGTCCCAGCATTGACACAGCTTAAGTTCTGATTATTATTTCATAAACAGGAAGTGCCTTTGAGTTATCATCTCCCTGCATGAACTTTGGGGTAAAGACCTTTACTCCGCCTCACTGGGGCCACCTCCCTGATGAGCAAGTTTTGTGCGTAATGAGCAAGTTTTACGTGCCTTAAGAGATCTGAGGATGCATTCAAAACCCAGCAGGGCTGGTCTGTTCCTGGCATTAAAAGGGACCTGCTCCACGACCAGTCCAGGGTCAGATTTTCAAGCTTTCCCAGCCCCTCGTGTGACAAGCAGAGCATGCAAGCAGGTCCCTGCCTGTGCTGAGCTCCAGCAGCGGCACCGGTGGTGAGGTGCAATTTACAAATATTACCAGATTAATTCCATAAGCCACCCACATAGACAACTACCGATGCGGCTGCTAAAAATACACCGTGAGTTGCAAAAAAGTTGTCAAGAATAAGTAAGGAGCAAAGCAAAGAGGAACAAAACCAAAACAGAGGTAATCACTGTTTAGAAAATAAAGATTAATGTGTATAAATACTTCTCTTTACCCAATTCTGAAGGATGCCAGGTACCAGACACCCGGGGAATCACTAGAGACAACTAGAGGCACCTGCCCTAGGCAAAAATCTACCCACAGCTCAGGCACTGCTGATGTCTAGCAGA